AAACCTCCAAAAACAATGCCCTCAACATCGAGGTTTGGTCATCTGCGAAAAATGACCGTTTGCTTTTTCATCTTGTACATATACACAGGAAAAGATATGTCCTAGAAAAATCATTGATTCATAGCATTCCAGAAAAAAATATTGCATACTAACTTATTCCCGACCTGCTGAAACTGAATTCGGTTTTGAAAATATAAATTGATTGCATACAACCGGCGGATCGATGTTCCATTGAAACTTTCTCACTTAGGCGTAAGCTTCGACTGCCAGATAGTGGTTTTTGCAGAGCACAACCGATACTTTTGCATGAAATGAATCTCTCCAATCTTATTTCCTCGGAACGAGTAGGATGTGGGAATATATAGCAGATATTGCTTTGCCTCGAACTCGTTCTTTATTGATGTCGCTGAAAACAGCTACTGTTAGAGGAATTTTGAGGACATTTCCAATTATGTTCAACGCGAGTCGATCGGAGACAAGAACTTGATGCGATTATGTTACAGTGATCGAAAAATCCCCTCAACCGAATCGAACCTTTAAACTAGAAATGAATCATTCGCTTTTCAGATCAGCTGAATGAGTGTTGCATTGATACGCAGAAGTGTGAGCGATTAGGTGATGAAACACTATGTCAAAATCAATTCGTTGAATGTCTTCGTTCAAAAATCCGCCTGAATCCGGAAGAGGATAAGAAATGTTACGAAGCCATTCAAGCGTTCACAGCAGCGTCTGCCCCATCGAGCGACACGGAACATAAAAGTAAGAAAAATGATAAGCACAAACAATTTCGCAACATAGATATGCCTACAGCGAGATCAAAATTCGACTGAAATGTGTTCAATGGACACACTGATCTCGTTTATCCGATCGCTTCTATGCCACTGTCCGGAACTGATCAACAAAATGGTCGCTTAGAAAAGCTTAGATCGATAATCTTTTGAGAAAGCCAATGAGATATGTTCCGATTGCAGGTTCTGGTTTGGTCAATACAATCCAGATTTGGAGTCATGAAACAAAGGAACTTTTTGTGAATATAACAAATCGCGTGAAGAACCATCTTGAAAATACACCGCTTAAGAAGCTTTTATTGTTAGTGATAATAATTGTAGTTGCTTGTATGTTTGCATATATGACGTTTCTGAACGATGACAAAGTGAAGTGGTTGAAGCTGAAAACACCCGTCAAATTTGCACACGAAAAAGCACGACTCATACAGATGATTTGAGGAAAGCGATCAGATAAAAATTTATTCA